ACGCGGAGCGCGGACCTGGAGCCGGACACCGCTGCCACCTGCGCGGCGGTCAGCAAGGTAGGGCGGCTCGCGCCACCCGCCGCACCTCCGCGAGATGGGCGTCGGTTGCGAGATGGGCGTCGGGCGGGACGTGCGCGCTGCGCCTCGGGACTGCAGTTCCCGGAGAGGGAGGGATGCTGGTTCCGTGAGCCGCCTGGGGCACCCGGCGGGCCGCGGGGATCTGGCTTCCCGCCGCCCCGCGTGACCTTGCACAAAGCTCATCTCTGGGCCTCAGTTTCCCCTTCGAGATAGCGGGTGCGTGCGGCCCCCCTCGGCACGTTGCTGGGAGCGGCTGCTGCAAGGTGCAGGCTCCCCACGGCTCGGGGCCCGGATGGGCACTGTGTGCACACCCGTTCCCTCCCCCGGCGCCCGCGGTGAGGCGGCTTGCCCTGGGCGCGGCCAGCCAGCCGGCCCCAACAGGCCCCTGCTCTGGCCCGGGTGCCCATGTTGCGACCCTCCTTCTCTCGGCTAGGTGACCAGCTGCGCCAGATCTATACGGGAAACCGTGGCGGGTGATCCCCAGGTCCCTGTTGAGTCCGGCTGGGCTGGGTGTCCGGCAGACTACCCACCAAGACCGGCCTTATTAGCTAGACTGGAGGAGCCCTGGGGTGAAGGTAGCCAGACTTGGCCTGTCCCAGGTCCACCTGCATTTAGGGAATAGTATGGAACGGTCACATCCAGGCCCTGGCCAGCTGCTGGAGCCCAGTTCTGTGCTCCAACCTGGTGGGAAGTACTGACTCGGCCACACCTGCTCAGAACGGCAGCACCAGTAGGGCTGTGTCTGCAGGGGCTGTACGCAGCGAAGCTCACCCCTGAGGCCCTAGTTCCAGGCCCTGTGGGTGCAAAGGACAGTAGGCACCTGGCCCAGCCCCTCTGCAGGGTCCCTTCTGGAAGGTCCTGTCCTCTTTATGATGGGGATCCCACTCACTGCATCAGACCTGGGTTTGCTTCCCAGCCAATGCCCCTCCCACTGGTCCTGCTAGAAGCCCTGGACATCAGGACCGCTCCTTC